CGTCTTAGTCTTAATTTGCATTTCCCTCATGGCTAGTGTTGCTGAACATCTCAACTATTTATATAATACAGTAGAAATTTTATAAATTTTAATTCAACTGTTAAACATCATCTTAATAGCTTAGGAAAAGAAAAATCTGTGTATTTGCTTATATTTTTACTCTTTAGTTGCTTTTTCTGCCTTACTTGTGTTAAAAATTTCTTATTATTTTATTTATGTTTAAAGAGTTTTCTTTAACCATTCTTTTAGGGTATTTGTTGGCAAAAAAATTATCAAAACTTTACCTCCCATGAGAATGTTTTAAGTTTCCCTTCATTTTGGAAAGATATCTTTGCTAGTTTTAGAGTATTAGGTTGTCAGTTCTTTGCTTTCAACACTTGAAAATTAGTGTGCCATTTTCTTCTGTCCTCTGTGGTTTCTGACGAGAACTCAGCTGCCATTCAAATTGTTTTTCCCTATAGCATGGTTCCCCTAAAGTTTCTGTCTCACAGCTTTCAAGATTTTAAGTTTCTCTTTAGTTGAAGAAGGTTAGCCACGATCTGTTTTTGCATTGATTTCTTTGGCTTTATCTGTCTGGGGTTTTTCTAAGTTTCTTGTAGTTGTAGGTTTATGTCTTTCACAGAGTTTAGGACATTTTCAGACGTTATTTCGTTGGATACCTTCAGAGCCTCTCTTCTTTTTGGGATAATGGTGAAATGAAGATTAGATCTTTTTGTTATAATGCTACAGGGTCTTAATATTCTTTTTATTTTTTAAGTCTATTTTCACTCTTTTGTTTAAACTGGGTTTCTCTATTGATCTACTTTCAGGTTCACTGATTCTTCCCTCTCCTTTCTCTTGTCTGTTGTTGAGACCCTCCATTGAGTTTCCTTTATCTAGCTTTTTATATTTTTTCATTCTAAAATTTTTATTTCATTTTTCTTTAGAGCTTCCATCTCTTTGCTGAGACTTTCTATGTTTTTTACCGAGTTCTATAATTCTGTTATTGGATTTCTCACCTCTATGGTTTCCATTTATTTTTCCTACATTTTTTCTGGGACTTTCTGTTTCTTTCCTGAGACATTTTATTTTTTTCATTTGTTTCATGTGTCTATAATTACTCATGGGAGCACTTATATGCTTTAAAATCCTTGCCAGATAATTCTAACACCTGTATCATGTCTTGATTATCTTCATTTTTGGTATGATGAGTGATTTTCTATTGAAACTCGGACATTTTGAGTATTATTCTATAAGGCTATGGATTTTATTTAAATCTTCTGTTTGAGCTGATCTTCTGTGACACCATTCAGACAATAGAAAAAGGGAGCTCGTTACTGTCAGGTGTTGGGTGAAAGTCGAGGCTCCCCACTAGGCCTCCAGGGGCACCTAGTGTGGGGAGGGGCTCCTTGCTACTGCTGGGCCATGGTGGGAATTCCAGCTCCCCACCACACCTTTGCTGATCCCACTCTGGCCAGAGGAAGTGGGAGTTCCTCCTCAATGCTCTCCAATGGTAGGGGACAGTCTTGTTACTGACAATTGTGTGTAGAGGTCCAAGTTCCCCACACAGCCTCCACTGATACTGAGGAAGAGGAAGCCACATTATTATCAAATGGGATAAAAGTCTTGACTCCCTCCCCTGACTTCTCTCCCTATACCCCCTCCTCAGCATGGGTGAAAGAAGTGGGTTTGGGGTACACCCTAACAGTCTGGAGAGAGTAAAAGCCTAGGCTTCCTGTTTTTGTTGATGGGGTTGGGGGTGGGACTGCTGGTTTTTTTTGTGGTGTTTGCCTGGATAGAACAAACTTTTATCTCTTGCTAAGCTGCCCCTTTCCTCATCATGTGGCTAGAGAAAACAATTCTGGTTGGGGCTTTTAATCATCTGTACCTGTTGGCGTTTCCAGCTCTCAGATGTTCCAGCTCCAATTTCCTTCTGTGAAGCCAAAAGGAAACCCAGAGAGATCCTTGCCAACTCCACCTGCCAGTCCTGAGGCCCCGATACAGTCTTTTTCTCTCCCCACTCCATTCACATTTCAGTGTCTTCTTGTTTTTTTAATATATAATATTGAGGGCAATTAGAAGGAGGAAAAGGTAGAAATACTTCTCTATTTTTTAGAAGTGGCAGTCTTTGAATATGTATCTTAATTCCCTAACTTATTAGAATGCCTACATTGCACTTAGGCAAATAAGTGAGAGACAAAATTAAATAATTTTTAGACTCCTAAGTTTATATATATGTTTATTACATATACGTTACATAATGTATTATTATATAATATATAATATGTATTATAAATTTTATTTGTGCTGTATATTTATCAAATATATATATCATTATATATATATCAAATATATATATCATTATATATAAACATATTACATATATTTTATTACATATAAATGACAAAGGAAAACAAATTTGTTATAAATTACTGGAATTCACAGACATGATAATTGTGGCATAATCAATATATTAAAATTTTTGAAAAATACAAAAGTAATTTCACAAAAGATAATTCAAATATGGCTTTTTCTGTACACACTTCTGTTATATGTTCAATTCAGCAGCTCTTTATGCATGTCTAGTATGATCTCATTACATTCTAGGTGTTCTATAGTATAAAACAAACAAATCTGACAGAGGCATGGGCCTTATTGGCAATAAGACTATAACCATGTTAATAATAAAAATAAATTAATTTGTAAAGACTCATATTTAGAAAAGGGAAGTTTCATTAAGAGATGGAGTTACCAAAATGGTCCTTTGGTAGAAATTAAGATGAGATTTTTTTAAAAAAACTGTATTTGTTTGTATGTTGAGGGGTTGGCAGACCATTTTAGGAAATTGTGAAGGCTTGGGAAAATGTTAAGTCTGAGAATTCTGAATGACCACAACAGGTACAACTTGGCAACGTGATGAGTGGGAGAACCACAAGCTCATGAGTGACAGGAGCCAACTGTGCGGGATGCAAGGCAGGACGTTATTTAAGCAACGTTGATCTTGTTGTGTCCCAGTGGACCCTGTAGGAAAGCCCTGTTCATCAGTACTCACACCACCCTGTTCATCAGTGCTCACACCTCCCTGTTCATCAGTGCTCACACCGCCCTGTTCATCAGTGCTCACACCTCCCTGTTCATCAGTGCTCACACCGCCCTGTTCATCAGTGCTCTCACCGCCCTGTTCATCAGTGCTCACACCGCCCTGTTCAACAGTGCTCACACCGCCCTGTTCATCAGTGCTCACACCTCCCTGTTCATCAGTGCTCACACCGCCCTGTTCATCAGTGCTCACACTGCCCTGTTCATCAGTACTCACATAGGGAAGGTAGCATCTTTGCAAGTTCCAGAATTTGAAAGTGGCATAATAAAAATTATGTTTAAGAGATATTATTCATAATAGTTATTGCAGTAACCCAGGTGTGAAGCACCAAATCTAAATGAATGCTTTCCTTCCACACCATGCCTCACCATCTTCTTCAGAATCGACAGTAGAGCAGTGGAATTAAAATGTGGTGATTGCCTTTATTTCACAAAATACTCTGCTAGACAACATCCATGTGTTCTCTCAGTTAGTATTCAATGCAATTATTGAGGACTTACTATTGACATTCTATGAGATTAAGCACTTTTTCCAAAGTCCCACAGCCAATATTTAAATACAGTCTCTTGACACTGCATGACCCTGACACCTCCATACCTGGCGTGATGGCAGGTGAGGCACAGGCTCTCGGGGTCCTTGATGACTTGATCCTGCATTGCAGCTAGGGCAGCTCTTACCTTCCTTTACCCACCTACTTTATTACCCACAAGTCAGCCTGTAAAATATGATAACAATTTAATGTTGTGGTGCTGTAGAAACAAGTTTCATATTTCTTCCCCTTCCTCTCCATTCAGGCAATGTCCTGCCAGAACTTCAGTTTAGGGTACTGCAGCCCAGAGAGCACAGAAGCAGCTCACATCAGTCAGCAGACAATTAAGACACTGGCCCTTGATTCATTTTCCAAGCTAACGTGTAACCATGCCGCTGATTTCCCATTTTCATTGTTTATGGCACGGCAGGTGGATGAACAGCTCTCCCTGATTTATGAAGTGCTTGCCTTCTATAAATCACAGAGTAGAAACCCAGCACGCTGCTAATCCTAATTGGTTAAGTCCTAAGTAGGGAGTGATTAGAAAGTCTTCAGGAATGAAGGTGCCTCATGCAAATGAGGGAGTCATACAGCTCCTTGGGAGGAAACTCCCCCTGCTCACAATATGCGGTGAAGTTTTTGTTGTTCATTCCTGCTGCCCTCTTCTATCTCTTGCCGGTCAACCCCTGTTGATCTTCCATTTGTAATAAACTGGAGGGAGGGGTGAATGAGGAAGTACACTGCAGAAGCGGAATGCTGTTTGCCCACTTACTCTCTCATTTGTTAATTTCAATCTGGATTAATTTTCCAGTTCCTATAAACCATTCATCATGAAGAAGGAGAACCGTGCAACAGGACTCATAGTGTTGTTTATTGGAGTGGGAAACCTGAGGGCTTTGAATTCTGTCTGCCTGCATTCAGATACCACGCTTTCCTGCGAGAAAATAACATGGCATTCCCAGGCACTCAACGATGGCCTTCTCTGATTGGTCTCTTAAAGCCTAAACTACTCTGAAAAATTTTAAATATGTGAGGCTGTGCACATCTTCTAATTGGAAATAGGGCTAAGAAATGCAGACTCTGCTGGCGGAAGAAGAAAGAAGCCTGCAAATTGTGTACAACTTTCCCCCAGCCTCAAGGCTGAGGACACAGGATAGTGTGTGTACGACACATTTAAGGGAGCAGTGACCTGAGATTAAAACACAGAGCAGGAAGCTTCCACTCTCCTGTTCCAACCAATTGAATATGTTCCCTTTTTGGCTAACGTCTCTTTTCATTTCTCTCTCCTCTTCCCCATCTTCCTCCTTCTACTTCCCTTCCCCTTTGTACTTTTTCCCTGTCTACCTTCCTCTTTTTCCTTTCTTCTCCATATCTCCTGGGACCAAATGGCAGCTGCAGCAGCAGAAGTGGCAGCATCCCTTTGGAACTGGAGGATGAACCTCCCTGCATGGAGGAGGTTGATTACAGTTCAGACAGCAGCTCAGAACAGGAAGGGAACTTGTCTGAGTTGGACCGGAGGATCCAGGAGTGTGCCTTCAATAAGGACGAGGGAGAGGAAGAAGAGGAGGCACCGGGGCAGGGAGGAGAAGCCATCCCATAGCCCCGAGGTTCACAGCAAGTTCTGTGTCTCCAACCATTGCATTGGACAGGCAGCTATGTTGCTGCTGCTTCATGATCAGACACACACAATGTATGCGTCAGTGCAAAAAGCCCGCCTGTGTGAACTCAGCAACCCCGTTTCCAGATTTTATTCTAGTTTCCCTATGCATCGAAGCTGGCCACTTTATAACATTTTGCATGCACATGTAGGTAGCCCCTGGGGCCTGTGCAAGCTGCCATTGTGCTTAGAATGGGACTCCACGTATGTACCTATACAACCATCCTGCCTTATCTGCACATGTACCCCAGAACCTAAAGTACAATTAATTAAAAAAAAAAAAAGAAATGTGGCCAAACAAACATTACTGTACAATAGTTCCTCCTTATTAATCCCAAATTAATCCAAGACTTCTATGAGAACTCCTGGAAGTAGGCGCTCTGTTTTCATGGTTATTTCTATGGTAGAAGATATCCAAGTTGATTGTATCCTTGCCACATAATAGCATATATCCGAATCTTTTCCAGTACTGCAAAATGGCATTTAATTGCTCCAATTGCATGCTCTGGTTACTAGTAAATATGAATATCTTCATTAAAACAAACAAACAGAAAGAATGGGACTCAACGGGTAACTTCAGGATTACCATGGATCCTTTCAAGATTGTTCTGTTATTCTCCATTCCTGTGCTTGAAACTGGAGCGAGCTGGAAGTAGAGGAGTTGGGTTTCTCCTTGGCGTCTCAGCGAGAATTCTAAGTGGCTATTTAAGTTGTTCCATCTATGAGTGTCATCTTCTACTGTTATTTCCCCACCATGGCATTTGAGCTCCCCAGAGCAAACCGTGAGCCCCACTGAGACTCTTGAGATCTGGCAGGGTCTTCAGGTGCTGGGTGCTTCAACATGAAAAACTGTGCATCCAAGTACTTGCAGGTTTCATCCATGATGTTCTCAGGCAGCATATATTTTACATACGTGGTACAAGCCAGAAGCTGCGCTAGACTCTAAGAAATAAGACATGGTCACTGGTCTTCACAGATTTTAAGATCCTGTGTATTCAGACCACCAAACATCATGCTGGGAAGCAGCAAGACCTACTGGAAAATTTATTCATTTCAGAATCAGACAGCTGTGGTTCATATCCTGTATCTGGCAGTTGCCTGTTATAACAACTTAGAAAAGTAATTAAGTTTCCCTAAACTTCAGTTTTCTTATATATAAAATGTTGATAAGCATACCTATATCATAAAGTTATTGTAGAACGAAATGAGATAATATATAAAAGTCTGCATAAGCATTTGGAAAACAACAACATTGGCTTATTTTTCTTCATAACACAAACACAACATTCTATATAAGAATTCTGACAGTAAAAAAAAAATTCTCACCAACCTGGCCACTGGGGTGAAACCCCATCTGTACTAAACCCCATTTCTACAAAAATTAGCCAGGCATGGTGGCGCATGCCTGTGATCACAGCTGTTTGGGAGAATGAGACGGGAGAATTGATTGAACCTGGGAGGTGGAGGCTGCAGTGAGTGGAGATCCCACCTCTGCACTCCAGCCTGGACGACAGAGTGAGACACCATCGCAAAAAGAAAAAAAAAAAATTATCTGGGGTCACATGGTAAGAAATAGGCCCTCTTACTGGAAGGGAGCTGAGAAGAAGATTACACAGGAGCAGAACCTAGGAGGTTGGAATGACTTAAAACAGGTAAAAATAGAGCAAAGCCTTTCAGCATGTGGAAGAAAGTGCTTAGATATTTGAATAATGAAGTGTACACCACCTGTGAAGAAAGGATGAGAAGGGACAGCAAAGGCAGCGGTAAAATGAGAGAGAGAATATGCTAGATCAAATTTAGGCTGTTTTAGATGTCATATGTATTTAGTTAAAATTAGGTTTAGCTGCAAGAGATGGACAACTTATCATGGGAGCAGCTTTTATAAGGCGTAAGTTTATTTCTCTTTCCTGTGGAATTCTACACGCTGGAATACCAGCCCTAGTGTCATGGCTGCATGGTGTGAGAGAGCTGGCTTCTGCAGTTTTCTGGCTGTACTATGTATTGCTTCTACTCTTGGTCTAGAATGGCTACCGAAGCACCAGCCATTGCTTTTGCATCCCAGACAGCAGCAAGAAGAACACAAAAAGAAGTGCCCACTTTCTATCTTTCCAAAAGCTATACATAATATTTCTGCTTCGTCTCATCAGCTGAAAAAATAGGCCGATGGCCACAGGAAGCTGCAACAGAGGTTAGAAAACACAGTCTTAATATGAGGTGGGCCCAGCTAAAATTCAAAGTTTGAAGTAAAAGTCTGAATACCAAGGGAAAAGATAATAATGCATATTGGGGGATTATATATCTGCTAAGGGACTTCCCCTGATATTCCAAACACCACCAAGAGATTTTTGGAAACATTAGAATAATTTCAGATGAAACTCATGGCACACACCTCGTGACCCGCAGAGCAAAACTTGGCCATAGATTAGCTCCACGGCATAGAAGAAAGGCATCTATGTTGTGATTTGGGGAGCTGATGGCGTTATTGACAGTCTATTAGTGTTTTAACTCTTTTCCAGATTTCCTTGCTGTAGTTCAGAAACTACACATCCATTCTTCATATGAAGATATGTATCTTTCTGTAACTTACGCAAGATATTTGAAGAAGATTAGCAAAGATACTGAAAGTGAACCCAAGCACTATGTATGTCTTAGCTCCTCCCATATTTCATCTTCCCTCTCTTAAATAAAGGCTACGGGTCATGCACTTTACTAAGCTCTATGGATGCAGATAAGAAAGACCCATTTTGTGCCCTCAGTATTCAGAGAAAGAACAATAAACATTCTAATTTAATGCAGCATGGCCCACAACTTTATGGAGCCATGCAAAGAGTGTAGCAAAAATACCTAATGTAATGGGGGTGGCAGCTGTGGTAAAAGACTACCACAAAGAAGTCATAAATTAGGTGATTTCTGAAGAAGGCACAGGAGTTTTCAGGTATAAATAGGGAAAAGACAGGTGAAGAAGTGGGAAGATTTTGTGCAAAGGCCCTGTGGTAGCGTTGGAACTTGAAATAATATGTTCAGTGTGACGCCGCATGTTCTGGCTCATAAGTGGGAGTTGAACAATGAGAGCACATGGACACAGGGAGGGGAACATCACACATTGGGGTCTGTCGCAGGCTTGGGGGCTAGGGGAGGGATGGCATTAGGAGAAATACTTAATGTAGGTGACGGGTTGATGGGTGCAACAAGCCATCATAGCACATGTATACCTAGGTAACAAACCTGCACGTCCTGCACATGTATCCCAGAACTTAAATTATTTTTAAAAAGATGTGTTTGTGTGTGAGAAAAGGAGGGGAGTGACGAGAGATGAAATGGAAAACCTAGACAGAAAATTAAGCAGCCTTTGACATGCCTTGATGAAGAGGCTGAGCTTGATTCTGATTGTGATAGGGAGCTTTAAAGAGCCTTCCGCAGAGGCATGCCCGTGACTGACACCAGCATGTCTGTATCAGCACCACGGCTCCCTTGCTCATGGCTGATGGTTTGGTGCTCCTGCTATGCTGGTTGTTCAGTAGTTTCAAAAGTGCCCCAGGTATGACATTACCGTATTTGAAGAGCAAGCAGAAGGTTTGTCTTCAGGTCAAAGATAAAAAATGCAGCTTGGGGTCATGTTGAATGTTGGTGGCCTATGTGACAGCCTTTTGGAGAGCTTTCCTAGAAATCAGAGGTCCATCGGGAAGCAGAAGGAGAACAAAGAGAGGTGTACCTAACACCTAGTGATGTCAGGGACTTGGGTGAATGTCTTAAGCACCTAAGCCCAGGTGCCAGTGAGTTGGAGAGGTAATTGATTGGAGGAGGGACGAGGGGACTTGGGAGCAGACCTCTCTTTTTTCCTGCCAGGACTGAAGGCTATTCTGTGTCACATCTCGCCCGTCTTCCATCTAGAGTTAGAGAGTACTTACCTGAGAGATAACTCTAGATTGGCATAAGAGCTGTTCTTCTAGTCAAGCCAGGACTGTCTCTTGCTGGTCAAATCACTTCAGTGAATTGTTCTGAAAAATGTATTCTATTAAGCTCGGAGTCAAACTAGGATGATCCAAGAATTCCAAGGAGTTGTAGGCCATAATGGGAAGCAAGTGTGGTCCAAAACGTGCAGAGAAGAGCAGAGTCCAGAGAGGCGATGCTGGGGCCAGGCGAAGCGCATGCTGTCTCGTACCAGCTGTCATCTTGTGCTCTGCATGGCAGGACTGGAACTGGGGCTGAGGGGCTGTGGGGGCCTGCTGCTTCCTGGGACAGTCTGGTGAACCTTCTCTGATGGGCAAAGGTTGGGAGCTCTCCGATTTCACCTTTAGGATAGTCCCATTGTTAGAAGAGAAGCACAGGACTTGCCACCCATGAGTCCCCAAGGGTGGAAACTCCTGACCGTTCATAACACTTCCCTCTGGAGAGAGGCTTTGTGATTCCACGAAAGGAAGAAGGAAGTTTAAATGTCTCAACAGATCCTTTTGTAGTCTGGCCCCGATCTCCTTGACGGCCTCAGCTTCTGTAACTCTTTATTCTCTTTGATTTGCCACAGAACATGCCCTCGTTTTCTCTCATCGCATTTATGCATGTGTGTGTCTACACCCATATGCACATGCACACATGCATACCACTTCTTAAGACACACAGATCCCCAAAGTCCTCTTTGACTTTTCTAACGTTTTCACATTTTTCCTCTGCCTCTGATAAGAATCTCCCACTACCTCCTTTGGGAATGTCAAAGCCCAGTTCAGATATCATCTTTGTTCTGTGAAACTTGTCCTCATCACCCAGCTCACCCAATGCCAAGTTACATAGTCTCTGTTCCATGCCCCTGTTGTCATCTGTTTTATACTGTGCTTATCATTTTTCACTTGATATACATGCCTTTTATATCCACACTCCCATTCACCATTGAATAGTGAGCTCTCAAGTACACAAATCTATTATCTTGGTACCTCTCCCTGTACCTACCACGCTTCTTGACACATTGCAGGTGTTCAAAAATGTGTCTTCCCCCCAGCTTTAAACCTGGACATCGACATCTCAGAAAATCTCATTTATTTCCCTTAAATCCCTCCGTTTTCCATCTCAAAGAGGAGTTTGTGTTCTAGAAAGGGAAAGTGGTTTCACTAAAAGGACATGTAGCACGAGTGCAGCCCGGCCTCTCAAGCTGGTGGTTGCCATGGAAGATTTCCCAGAGTGAGGCGAGCTTAGCAAGGGGCAGGGTGGCCTTGTCCTAACCTGCGTTGTGCAGATGTTTAGACAGAGTGGTGATAATGGAGGGGTGGCATCTCCCAGGGTCTCCAGGGCCTGCCTCATTCATCCAAGGTGCTCTGGCTCCTATGCTCCCTTTGGTGAGAACTGGTCGTGCAGCTCCATGAGTATCATGGGTAGCAGCCAACTTGGCTGCCTGGGCCCTCCTTGCAATCCCGTCAGTGAGAATCAGCATCCAAGAATTCCATCCATTGGCTTCAGTTTCTTTCCAGTAAAAGGACTCAGAGCCACCAAGTACGTTTGAAATTAACCTGCTCCCTGAGTTACAAGCTCACTTTGAGGTTGTGACCTTCCTTGGGTTGGCAATCCAAGGAAGGTCACATTGCACGCTTCCATCTATCAGCCTGGAAAATGGTGCTGTAGAGTCAATTTCATATTCCAAGGGAAGCCTCTGCCCTATGCCCAGGGAAGGGGCTCCCAGAAAATGCCTGACATAAGCCATCCTTGTTAGGGACTCAGAAGAGTGACCCGCATAGTGGATCTGAGCATTTGGATTCGGATTAGAATGACGGATTTGCTTTGCCCTGCTGGTACATCTCACTGCAGCTCCCCAAACGCTCCAGTCTTGGAAAGACAGGCATAGTAGCCTGGTGCTCACCAGGAGGGCTTTTCTGGGCAAAAATAATTCATCAGTTCTGGAGCCTGCTGCTGTCTTCCCAACAAATGCCCTCTTTTGTTTGTGTTGCTGTTTAGCTTCATGCTACCAACGCTTGATAAAAAGTGTTCTTTAGAAAAGAAAAAAGAAATGGTAAAAGGGAATTTTGAGATAAAGAATGGATTATATTACAACCTTTCAGTGCCTAATAATAAAAAGATACAATTGTATGTAACTCAAAATCATCTATTACACACATACAGTTCAACACAATGGAGCTGAAACTGAGCTTGAGTTACACACACACACACACGTGCACACGTGTGT